TAAACTGGCCGATGTCTTTCCACACAATGAAGGCTTTTATCGGAAGAGAATTCCAGACCTCAAGGTGCAACTAACTTAAAACTCGAACAAAGTAGAAACAGTGGACAGTGGCACTCTCCGACATAGCCGACTTGCCAAGAATCGAAGCCATTGGTGAGTTTAGACTACGTACCCGGCACGATTGCTTGGCGAAACACCTTCACAGATTGGGAGTATACACTCAACCCACATGCCCCCTATGTAACTTACAGGAGGAAATGGAGAAGACCCACCTGATTTGATGTCCAGCCCTAACGACAACGACGGAAAGCCAGAGATACTGGGAAGCAAGAAGAAAGCTAATGAACTGCTATTGATTAACTGTTATAAATGTACCTCCCACCCTTGTGGGAAGCTGAAGTCAAAGTTTAAGGGCTGATGATAAATATCATAAAGCCCGCCATATGAAATAAATATGGAATAATAAATATGTTCTAAGGCATAATTCCAGTTGAAATTAAATGTGAAAAAGTCTTTCACGGAAAGTTCTAACCAACATTATTGAGTAATTAGAACGCTAGTCAGTCTTCTCAAATCGTCAGAGTTAACTTAATTTTATGGTTGAGAAAGAAATCTACACTTTCCTTTTTTAGCAAATAACTCGTTTCCAGAAAATGATAAAATATTTCAGTTAAACGAAACACTCAAAAAACGAAAAAATACGAAGTAATCGAAACTGCCGAGTGTCAATGAGGGGAAAACAACAGCATCACGAAAAAAAATTTTGTCAAAATTTTATGTTATTACTTTTCAGACAGAAAAAATTTCTTCTGCCTTCTGTGTAGCCAAAAATAGACAACAATCTAGAGAAAATTCTAAGAAAATTTACGAAAACTGGCTCCAAATAGTTTCACTCGAAATATTAATATACTTGCATATTCAAAGAACACGTATTCAAGTTGGTTCAAAAAATACATTTTGTCACAATTGTATCTAACGCTTTCGGTGATTCCGATTCAATTGTCGTAATATAAATCTTTTTTTCATAAAAATCAACCTGATTAGAACAAGGTTTAATCAAGATTTTATAATCTGATCTGAACATCGTTATAGAAGTTACCAGTGGTGTTGCGTCAATCTTCGAATTTTAATCCCATAATTACCTTTGTGCTTTATGTCCCTCGAACTACAGCCTTTTTGAACACCCTGAAGACCTTTTTTGAAAAGCCATTTTTCAGTCGCACTGGAATTTGAAATGCTTTGGAGAATATTTCATTGTCTAAATAATGCAAAATATTCTGGAGTTGCTAATAAATAAAGTTATATGTCAATAGGTCATGTGATATTTGGTTATAAAGCGTTTATCGCCTTCATAGGAGCTCAACCACCTGTACCAAGTTAAGCGTAAAGACCACCGCACATTCGAAACCAGATGATTAGCATCTCTCGCCCTCCCTCTCTACACTTCTAAAGTACAACACAGAGGACAAACCCCGAGTTAGCCGATAAAAATGCGCGCAGGAAACTACACAAATAGATGAGTCAACTCAAGGCTTGATACCTTGGTACTCTGAGAACTCACTTCAGACATCAAGAAACTCGAATTTTAATTGGATCAAAATTTGACCTACCATTAGTCATTTGTATGCGGCATGTTAACAGGATTTGAGTCATTGCACGAAATGACGAAAGGTGACATTTGGGTAAGGCAAACCCTTGCATACCGCAAACTCCTCGTTTGTTTTTTTTTTTCACAACGAACTACAAATACAACTGGGAAGATTAGTAAGAGCAACGTTCGACTTGGTAGGTGGACACTTCAGTCGTCATGATGTGAGTATTTTGAGGAAAATTGTGAATAAATAGTAAAAATATCAGGGCAAAAAAACTGTAATGAAGTCCTGATTGGTCTATCACGAGATCTACAAGATTAAAGGTCCATGAGAGGAAGGTTGGGAGACGAAGTTGTGGGTTATGAAAACAGGACTGGGAGGGAGAGAGAGAGAGATAATCTAAGAATTGAGTCAATGAAAGAACGCGATCGTACACAATGGCGTGTGACAGCCATGTGAGAGTAAAGGGATAGTGGGAAGGATGTAACATTGAGACACACTGTCACGCACAAGCACAATACACACAAACAAATGTTCAAACATTGGGATGAATTACACCGGAGACAAGAATGTGTTTGTTCGAGGGGGGTGGGGAGGGGAGCTAAAGTTGAGTTCAAAGCACAAAGTTTGTTAAGCTTTGATCTCGTCATCGTCGCGCAATGCAATAGCTGCTCCATCGTCTTCCTTAGTGAAGACTGGAGCCTGAAGAGCAGCGGTTCGTTTACCGACCACGATGGTACCAAAGGCCAGATCTCTTGCTACTTCGTCAAATGTGCGGTTCTTTGTCTCGGGCATGAAGAGTAGGAATACAGTCCAGCAGACTATGACGATCACCAAGAACGGAAGGTAGACATACCCACCCAAAAGTTGCTGAAATGGGAGGATTGTCCAAATTAGTGCAGATTAACTTAAATATACTTAATCCAATTTCATCCTAAGTATCATTATCGTGATTGTAAGTGTGTAATGAACGAGAGAGTAATGTATCAATGGGAATCAGTGAGTAAATGAATGAGTGATTAACTATGCTAATAACGCGAGTTAATGGATTCCAAACTAGGTATCCATGCTGGGTCTCACGGATCCTGTTTACATCATGTTGCAATCCGATTGTATAGTGCTTAAATTATAATCCAAGGAAAGATATTTTGTATAATTCCCTGATTGTCCAATTCTTCTTCCTAGAATTCAGACAGTGGTATCAATGCATGGCAATGTATAATTCTTTCAATCAATACAATCTCATGTCAATTCTTTGAAATATTGCTTGATTGCTTCAATACCTTGGAATTTCTATAGTTATTATAAAATGTAAGGCTATCCTTCCCACATACTTCATTTCGCCGCTTGAAACTAACACATCAAAACTCAACAGTAATTATTATTACCTTTAATATGCTATCTTTTGCAGCTGTCAGGAATGACGTTACTTAAAAGTCTTCATGATGGAAGTAAAAGTTTGCAAAGCAAAAATTCGACATGCAATTACTTTTCTCATTTATGCCAAACCAGGTACGTGATTTCTTCTAAAGATTCAAAAAGTAGGTCTGCTGAACGAAATGTGGAGAAAATAGTATCACGGAGAAAAGGCCTTACGAGACAGGAAAGGAATGTCGAAGCACAGAAAATCTAATTTAAATCCTGGCAGAACTCCATCATCAATGTTCCAGTACAGAGGTGTGTGATAGGCCTACCTCCGCGTGGTGCATCCTAGGCAACGTATATTCATACAGTAAAAAGTCTATTAATCGGCAGTTGACTTCTGACTTCAAACTATCATGACCAGACTGTATGCCATATTCGACCCCTTCCACAGTACTTATCTTACACTTTCTTTGCCTTTGTGTTAGTCAGTCTGTCTCTTTTGCATCTGTGAATCATTATTCTCTCCACCCTCTCGACATTTTGTCCCTTTGATGTTCCTCCTCCTCCCCCTCTCGTGAAGCCCGAAGTCAGCTAAAGGGCTATTGATAACTATCAAAACGTCTGCCATTTGAAATAAATAAATGTTCCAGTACTTGAAAGCTACCCATCCTACTTCCTAATTTGAATGTTTTATGCGCTCCTGTAATTAGTTTGAGTAAAATTGTGTATTGGGAGAAAAAGGTTTAAGCAGGTTATCGGATACTTTAAAATGAAGTTAAATGGTAGAATAGTGGCTAAAATGGGTTCTGAGGAATAGAAAAAATAAAAGATTATCAGACAAGACCATTACCCAAGCAGTTGAATATACGAAAATAGTTAAAAAAATCGTGCTTAATAGAGAATGAAATAGTCAACCTTTAAAATTAAATGTATCATTATCTGACAGCTGGCCTATAAGTTGTTAGAGAGTTCTGGGAAATCACTTTTAATTACGAAGTTAATGAAATTTTGAATAATCAATAGAGACTTACATCAAGAGGAGCGAATGATGAGGTGACAGCAAGGTTACATGCCCATTGGATGCCCAAGCTGAGAGAGTAGGCCGAAGCACGAGGTTCTTGTCGGAAAATCTCGGCCACAATCAACGCCGGTAACGGCCCTAGGCCTATAGCAAAAGCTGCTATATAGATAAACACCAATACCACGGACGTTAGGGCATAGGGAGTTTTGTTTATGACATCATCTCTGTTTGCGACATTGACGAAGACAATGAGGAGTAGGAGGGTGATGGCTAAAACGAGGGTTGGCCACAGCAGGAGAGTTCTTCGGCCAAGTTTTTCTAATAGTGGCAAAGCAGCAATTGTAGCAACAACATTGAGAACACCAATACCCACCACAAAGAAGTCCAAACCCTCGACGACTTGAGCTGTCTTCAGCATTTGCTTGGAGTTCGTTACAACCTACAGATTGATAATAACTATGGTTAACATGATTTAAAGGGCCAGTAAATCACCTTAACTACCGTTTCTAATAGGCTTGCAAATTTTAAGACACCAGAGAGTGGATAACTCTGTAAGGATGAATTTATTATAGAAGAACCTGCTTAATTCTTCTTGGTTCAATCAATAATTAATTGAAAATTAGCCAGCTTAAAAGACCCAAATTCTCAAATAAAACTAATAGAAAAAAATGAAATATTAAGGGAAACATGTTAGATTTCGGAACAATTATTATCTTCGAATGATCTCTTACCATAAAATGAATGGGAAATAAATTTAATTGGAGAAATATGCTACAATTTCTCCGACCTAAAATATACTAAATTTAGAACTTTGAAAGAATGAAAAGTAAACTTTCCTGAATTAATTGTTCAAAATCCTAACCGGCAAAACACTAGTTACTTTGAAGCTTACAATTCCTGGAGAATCTTTAAATGAACTATTTGTTAATAGAAGTGACTTACTTAGCGGTTAATTGAAACACCCGTGAACAAATAGTAGATTAGCTACCGATTGGTGACTTAATGCTTCAATTGGTGCTTTCAAGATATCAAGTCACACACAAAAAATTTTCAATTTGGTGAAATTGAGTGAATTAAGTTAAGATGACAGATGACAGGGTGTTGGAAAGGGAATTTGCGAAGTTAGGAGGCGCTCACTAACATTGCGTGAGCTCACTAACATCTCAAAACTCGACCCAAACCAACTTGAGAGGCACGTTTTTGAATTCAAATTTCAGTTTAAGTTGACATCACTTAGAGTGACGAATTTCACTTCAGCTCAGAGCTATGTGAAAAGTAAACATCTTTGCCAAAATAATCAGCATTAATGCATCTATAGATGGAAAAATCCTCATTTCCCTATAACCAATACTGATACCTGGAAGTTCATGATGGAATCGCGACCTCAGAGGAAAATTTTATGGTAGACGGGTAGAGAAACTCACTGCATTGATACCAGAAAGCTGCTGCATGACTTGAATGAGAACAGCAATGATGACTGGCATTCGCAGATCACGTCTACGAAAAAGTTCAAGGAACTTGAACTCTGTCTGGCTCCTAGCGAACTCAGCCTCCTCACGCATTTCAGCGAGGAACATCTCAGCATTCTCATTGCCGTTTAAACGCACGAACGCTGTCTTAGCACCCTCCTCATCGTTTTTCACAAGATAGATCCATCGAGGAGACTCTACGAAGAAGAATGACAAAATGAAGGCGATTGCGGCAGGCACACCCCCAACAGCAAGTGCAACTGGCCACAAAGTTGGAGTATTGAGAGTCTGATTTAGAGTTGTCAAATAGCCAACAACAATTCCAATGGTAATGGCCAGCTGATTACAAGCACCAATCATTCCCCGAAGATGTCGGGGTGCGATTTCAGTGAGGAACATTGATGCAATTCCAATTGTTAGTCCACAGTTGACTCCACTGATTGCTCGACCTATGTAGAGGGGAGCTGGATGATCAACAGTGACACAGAGAAAACTGACAATTGCACCGACAACGCCGATGATATTGTTTATCATCAAGCTCGTCTTCCTGCAAAGGAGAAATACACAAACCCCAAGTAGTACGCGGAAGCCAGGCCGATTATTCAGGCCGTGAATCATCAGTCGACTTTAGTCATCAGGCACAAATGACTAGTTTAGACGAAATGTGGACGATTAATAGTATCAAATGCCTAAAATACAATTTTTCGAAACTTAAGGTAACTTGTATTCCCTTTGCGGTTACGTTCAACTGGTGTAGCGTTCTGTATTTCAACTTGTAAGTCTTAAGGCAAAAAATAAATTAATATAAGGAAAGGATACCTTGAAAATCACTGTATACTGGCACGTAAATTAATTCCCCCGTACCCCCATTTTATAGTGGGTGAAGTTCCAGAGTCCGCATCGTCCAACTTCGTCCTCTAGGTTTGAATCAAGCTAAACCTTTGCACCGCTGTCTTCATCACTGCTTTTAACCTCCTATTCATTTATTACATTATCTTAAATTAAATTTGCCAGACAGGTCTTACATCCGTCGAGGAGGAATTGTGAGATAAAATTTTATACCAGTTATTTTGTTCTTTTCCCATTCCTACCTCTGAGAGCCTTTTTGTATAATGTCCTTGTCACGTATTTGCAGGCATTACCTATCAACATATTCCAGAATTGTTTTAACACTCTTCTCCCTGTTTTCATAAGACTCACAATAGAAAGATCAGTCTTCTTTGTCTGCCAAGGCTTAAATGTGTTTTTCATTGTTAGGGAAAATCTCAAGATTCCTTCATCTATAATGAACTTCCAAATGCCAAGATATTATTGGCATTCGGGGGGG